ACACACACACACACACACACACACACACACACACACACACACACACACCTCCTTGTTTTCTCACTCCCCTTTTCCTCTCACTAAGCCCCTCCCACAACGTTTTAAATGTTTCAAATGAGTGTTTTTTCCCTCCAGAGATGAGGAAAAAGTTCCTCCTGATAGAATTACAGGACTGTCTTTCATGCCAAACACTTCCCTGGAACCAAGGCAGACTAATTAGACTTTAAATGTATTTCTTCATATGTGTTTTTAAAATGTTCTTTGCTGTTTTCTTATTTATTTTTCTTTTCAAGTTTTTTTTTTTAACCTTTGAAATGTCATTGTGTTTTATTATTTTAACTCAAATCAGAAAAGGCTCCCATATATTAAGTGCAGCTGCTCACCTGAGTGGGACAGTGTCTTTAAGTTTGGACACACACATGTTTAGAGGAGGAGGGGGACAGTGTCTCCTGTTACTGTCTCACACTTTCCGCTTCATTATGCAGACACAATGACTTGTCTGAAGTGAAGATGGGACATTAAGTAGAGATGCAGGCAGCAGTGCAGAGCAGTCTGAGCCGCAGGGAGCTCATCTTCCGTACACAAGCAGCTACTCCCTGATGGGGTCGTTTCGAAGAGAGAAATAAAAAAATAAAAAAAATAAAAAGACAAATGAAAATGTTTTGTTCCTGCATATGATGTCTGGACTCAGGCAGGAGATCAGAATAATAACAAAAAAATCTAAATAAATCAAAGGCCTAGCATTCCTCAAACACCACTGCAGGAGTTGTTCAGAGTTGTGAGCGGCTCTCGGCTACTGCTTCAAATTTTAGCTCAGTGTCTGTGAAACTGAACAAACTATCTTTATATTTGTCGGCCTGTTCACTTCCAAACGTACTTCAAAGATTTGACCGAAAGGACCACAGCTGCATCCATTCTCAGCATCAAATCTAAGACATAGTAGGGTTGGGCAATATTGGCAAAAAATCTAAACACGATTAATTGTGGTATTTAGCCGATAACGATTAATTTGACGATTAATCCCCTGGACACCCTTATGTCCTGGTCACATGACCAATTTAGTGGGAAAGATTTGCTCTTCATAAAAATCTGTTCCAAACTGTCAAAATTACAGACTTCAGGCTATACATCAAATTCTAAATTATGTTGATGGATAAATAAATTACAGGACTTTTTTATGTTCATCATATTTGAAGCAGAGAGGAGCACCGAGCAGACTGACCCGAGTAATCCCCAGTCAGTCTGCCTGGTGGCATTAATCGTATTAATTGTCAAGTGTCAAAAAGTAACCGATTAATGTTTTTCTGACGATTAATTGCACACAATACGATTATGCCCAACCCTAAGCCGTAGATCTGCAAATGCAGTTTCAATACTTTGGTGAACTCATCAGCTTTTTGTATTTTCCTCATCACTTTTAGCGAAAGGAGGAAAAATGGGCCGAAAGGAGCAGAAAACTACTGATCATCAACTAGTGGCCCTCAGGCCATACCCGGGCTGCAGCCTCACTCCAACTGGCCGTAGTGTTTTATAAACGTAAACAAATGATGCACGATCCAATACAAGAATCACATGTTTGAACTTGAGTGGATTAATGATAGTGGTGCTTTAGCCAATCAGAGAGCTCGCTCATGACACGTGATCAAGATAAAACTTATCTGCAGCACATCGCAACAAGTCTCCCGTATTTTTAATGTTATATATGCTTCACAGTGTTGAATCCAGAGATAATTCTCAACACTGATCTGTTTTTAAATGTCGCTGCTCCTCAAAAAACAATTGTTGTTCCCCCGCATTCCACATTAGCAGCTCTTCCCTGCATCTTCTGGCGGTGAAACAGTTTCCACTCTAAATGTTAAAGAGGCATAGATGGTTTATTTTAAATAGCTCACATTTTTATGATGGGCTACAACAGAATCTAGAATTAGAAAAGAGAATACAATTATTATAAATTTAATTCTAAAAGATAACATTTTAATCAGGTTTAAACGATTCTAAATGCTACAACTCTGCCCCCTGCTGGGACAAAATGGTAACTCAGGTCTAATTGTGAACTCAAAGGAAACATAAATTGGTGGATTATTCTGCTGTCTTCAAGACGTTTTAGTTATCACTAACCACAGAAAGGTGGGCATTGTTGTCTTTACTTGTGCCTGTGTGCGTTCGTGTGTATGTTTTTAGCAAAATATCTTCTGAACCTCTGGACAATTTTTGTTGAAACTTGCAGAAAGTTATCAATGGATGTACGTTTAAAACTGATTAACTTTTGGAGCCAACCCTTTTTCAAGATGGCTGCCATGTGATCAATTTTACCAACACAAAAATGTCTTTAAGTCAGACATTCTGATAGATAAAAGAGCTACAAGTTGGCATGGAAGTTGCTGAGAATCAAAGTCAACACATAGTACAAAAGCTCTAACCATTTTGCTTAAAATGCTGACTCTTTTGCTTAAATTGTTACATCTTGTGACATCACATGTGATCAAATAGACATAATTTTTTGAGGTTTGGCAAAAACGACTTTAACGCATAAATTTTCCACATGAGATGATTTTAGTTTTAAAATCCAACACAAAAGGCAGTGGGGAAAATACGTTTCTTCAGGGAATACCAGGTCTTTAATTTGAGTAAATATTGTCAGACAGCTATTATTTTTATCAGCAGGGGTCAAATAACACCAGAGTATTAAAGGATTACTCTGCAGACAGAACGCATCCGGTGAAGCCTTTCATCACCTGTCTTTAATAAGAGAGCCATGATGATGGGTTTTCTCATTTCACAGATGTTAGCTCCAGCCTGCAACCACTCAGTAAAAACCCAGGTCCAGGAAGTCCTGATCGGCACAATATAATAGCTGCTCTGTCCTGCAGGAGCTGCGACGAGGACAAACAGGATCACTCCCTCTTTTCCTCTCTTTTCTCTCACACACTCTGTCACTTGCAAACAATACTGCTTTACTGCATTGTGAGCAGAACACTCCATTTTCATGCTTCAGTGTCAAACGCAGACCAGGTTTGTACACCTGCTATAATTTAGAAAAAAACAATTGTTTAATATAATATTGTTCTCTCACATGTTGCCTTCTTTCCCCCCAGTTCATTTAGTCTGCTTTGGCTATTGTTTGACTTTTTCACGTCGTTTCAGATCGTGCCTTCCCACCTGCTGCTCCACCAAGAAAGCAGTGCTGCAAACATTCTGTCTGCTCCTAACTAAATATTGTTTTGAAGAAAGGAATATTATCGTTTGCTTTTCATAAGAGTTTAGGTTAAGATCTCATTGAGAGTTGTAGACATTTTTAATTTTTTTTAAATACTGTGATGCACAGAGTCATGCAATATCACAAGATGTCATGCTCAGATTATCCATTGGTAATGATGCTCAGCTCCTACCACATCACATTGAACATTTTCATACAATTTCCATTACAATGTTAAATTGTACTTATTCCTTTTATGCATTAGGATATAATGTTTATTTCTACATACTTACTAAACACAGAGATAATTAGAACCCCATGCTAACAGTCATATATGGAGACCAAACCATCTCTTTATATCTTATTTTAAATTGATGGATATTCGGGCACTGCTTGAGTTGGGTTGGGTTCAGGGTCAGGAGGAGCCTTTGGCATCCATTTTGAATCCTATTGACTAGAAATGTTTATCATTCACAGAGTTTTACATCCAACAAGTACTTTCTCCCATTAAAATTTGTGCAGTGGCTTTATGAAATATTTTGGTGAAAGACAGAGGAACAACCACCCAGACTCAGGGAGCAAATGTTTTCCTTCGCCTTTTGGTGGCACACACCAAAAGGCTTTTATTATTCATTGTTGCCAACTTGTTTAAGCTCTGTTTTATTTTCTTTTATCTAAGTTTTTGCAGGATTAATCATGCAGCATATTTCCAGTTTGTTTGGCCTCCCGAGAGTCACTCTCTTCAACAGAAAGGCACAAATCAGATCTTGCCTACAGTCATGTTTGGTTCTCTCAGACCGTCAGACAGGTGGAGTGAATCAAGCAGGAGACTGAAACAACCCCGGCATCGTCTCTCACACACTCCTGCTGATCAAACACGCCGCTGCAGGTGGAATATCGCCACCATTATCACTCCATCTTTGCAGCTTGGCTTGTGCACATCCCATTCCACGCAGGGATTACCAGCCCAGACTTCTCCATAAACAAGAGAGAGTGAGGGCGAAAATGGCTAGTCTTGATCAGACCTCCTGCTGCACCTGTTTAAAGACCCACTCCAATTTCCTCTGAACCTCCCACAGCTGCCAGATAACCAGCTACGTTTGGCTGGATTTTGTCAAAAGATTGGGCTCACCAGGACACACGGTGACATGTAGAATCCCAGAAATTGGTTTTCTGGGTCTGTTTTCTACTTTTATTTCTAAAGATGACAAAATACTTCTGTTAAAGATAACAACCTGCAGTTTTACTTTAATATGAAAAGTATTTTTTATCCTGCTGAATCCATTTCAATTTCTGTTGTTTTGTTTGCTAACCTGGCCTCTCATACTCTATATAATATATATATATATATATATATATATATCAAGAAAGCAAGAAAACCACAGTGAATGCTGAGTCAGCGTTCAGACAATGAAAGTCAAAAGCAAATGTAAACCCTTGAGACAAGTTTAGTTCTTTGTGCGTACAACAACATGGCCACTTTTTGATCCACTAATAATTCCAAAGCCTACAATGTGGCGCTTTCAGTAATTCTACTTTAATCTTACTTTCACGTTGTGTGTATTTCAACCTGCTCTGAGTTTACCTTCTGGGTAGCTGTTCAGGGTCGAGTAATGCCAGCCTGAGTTTGTGTACGTCCATTTACCCCAAAGGTCTGTTGACAGACTTTCAGTGATCCACCAGGCCTGGAATCAAATATTAAAGAACAAATATGTAAATATTGAACTATAAGAGCATATAGAGCGTGTGTACAGTGCAAACAGTGTAAAACCTTCTGGGAGACAGCAGATGTTTATATGTTTTATCCTTACATGTGTAACATGTATGACGTATCAGTGTGGGCAGACTTTATTATTCTGCAGCCATTGCTGGGCCTGCTTTTATTGTAGGAGGTTTGAAGATTTACTGCACCGAGGGTGGCAAAAACATATTTTGACGTTTAACTGCAGGGTATTTCTGGATGGTTTACACACACACACTCACACACACACACACACACACACACACACACACACACACACACACACACACACACACACACTGGCAGAGGAGGAGACAGCATCAATACTGCA